TCCCGAGATCCCGTGTTTTGAGGAAGGGCAAAACGTGGCTGCCACACTCTGCGAAAAGATATCCACGGAGTACCCATTGGGGGTGTACGACTCCATGCCATGCAACTTCGATCACGAGGACGCACATCCCCAACCAGAGCACGAGGGTTCAGCTTCGCAGCACTCAGAACAAGGAAGACATTCACCTCAAGCCTTCTGACCGCTGATCGTCAAGCTGTCGAACACGACAAAGTTGAGATCAGGGATGAAATGGAGACCCTGGAGGATGGTCACAGCAGTGCCATATAGTGTCTTAGTGGGCTCGAGTCTGCCGGCAGAGATGGCGGCAGTCTCATTGGCTCTGCTGGTTGCTACAGGAATGTTGGAGGGTGATGGAGACCTGGATGCGAGAGCATACCCGGTGGACTGGGACAGGTTTTACATGAGTGACGGATCTGACGACGAGGCGTTGGAATGGCATTCGGATGACGAGAAGGAAGAAGAGGACCAGGTGGGTGGGATAGTCTCAAACAATGAGGACGGTGAAGACCTATTTGAGATCCCCCGGCAGGATAAGGATAGGATGACAAACTTAGGACAGTTCACCTCAGGTTCCCAAGAAGGGGAGGGGCCGTTGGATATGGACACAGGGGGGAGTGCGCCTTCGTAGGCTGTTTCGTGGGACGATGCTAACCTGATCTAGCCCGGTAATACCTGGAGGATGGAGGGGTTCAGGAAGATGGCAAACTCGAGGGAGTGCCGGAGGGACCGGAAAGATCAAGGGATCATCATTCGGTGGTGGAACGTGAATGGATTGGGAAATGTCATAGATAAAGAAGAAAAATGGAATGACATAGCCCAAGGATTAACAGTTAAAAACAAAACACCAGCTGACTTGATAATGCTGCAAGAAACCCATCTATCATTTTTGACAGAACACAACAGAATCAAAAAATTCGTGACAAGGAAGCTGGGAGGCATCAAAGATGAAATATGGGCGGCAGATAACGTCTCGAGTACGAAGGGCACAACAATCTTGATCCCCAACTCCTCACGTTTTTACGTGGCAGGAAGTGTTCTGAACAAGGAAGCGGACCTCAATGAGGGCAGATGGTGTTCTATGCATCTTAGGTGGAAGGATGAAGAGTTCTTTCTTCTCAACATTTATGCCCCAAATAACACATTTGAAAGAACATCCTTTTTGTTAGAGATGGGGACCAGGATCCCACCTCTGACGTCGTGCATAGTAGTGGGTGACTGGAATGCAACCCTAGACCCGGTATCAGACCGCATATCCAGATCTTCCAACACATACAACTCACAAGAGGCCTTGTCCAGAGGTTGATGGTAGATTGTGGCCTAGTAGATCCCTTCAGAACTTTCCACCCGACGTCGAGAGTTTTCTCACTGGTCAAGAAGAACCATGCGCATCACACAGCCTTCTCGAGGATAGACTATTTCTTGGTATCAGGTACAATGATGGGGGCGGTGAAAGAGGCGGAGATCCTGCCCTTAGCACCCTACCAAGGACTGGACCACAAACCCATCGAGCTCACTACCTGCTTTGAGGAACGAGTAAGGAAAGGGGCTAGCTTTCACAAATTGAACAATTCCCTCTTGCTTAGTCAAACTTTCCAAGAAGGGATACAGGAATATTGGAGCGAGAGGTGTATGACCCGCCTACTTGCCCATGACCGGTGGGAGTGATTCATAGAGAGCTACTCTTTACTCGCGAAGGCAGCAGCCAACATGTCAAGAAAACTGGCCTCTATAAGGAAGCAGAGGAAGCAAAGCCTGAAGAAGGCGCTGAAGATAGTGGAATACAACCTGAGGGACTACCCGTCCTCAACACTATATGCAGGCATATTTGAGAAACCACGGGAAGAGTTAGCTATGTGGAAGTGGTGGGAGCTAAAAGGTCTGCAAGTAAGAGCCAGAATGTGTGAATATGAACTCAGCGAATTGATGTCGAAGCACTTCTTTGCCCGAATGAAGGCGAATACAAGAGCAGCCACAATAGAGAAACTGAAAACCCTCAGCAACCTGGAAGTGACGGCGGAAACTAGTGAAGGGATTATGAGAATTGCTAAAGAATTCTACCAAGAATTATATCAGGCCAAGACCCAAACACCTACCCCAAGCAACGCATTGGAAGCAAGACAAAGAATGTTACAATATTTGGAACAAACGATATCGGCAGAACAAGCAGAAGAGTTGGACAAGACCCTATCATTGGATGAGTTTCTGCAAGCCCTTAAGAGCATGAACAATGACAAGGCACCAGGCATTGACGAGCTGACGAGGGAATTCTGGGAAAATTTTGGCCGAACCTAGGGGGGGACCGATTGAACTTCTACAAAGATAGCTATGAGAAAGGGGGCCTAGGCAGCTTACTGAGTAGCAGTGTTGTTACACTACTATATAAGAAGGGGGACAAGGAGGACATTAGGAACTATAGACCTATTTCCTTACTAACTCTCCCATACGAAATCCTTGCCAAGACCCTGGCTGCCAGAATCATGAAAATAACGGATAAATGTTTTCATATCGATCAGACGGGCTTTATCCCTGGACGCTACATATTAGACAATGTGCTGACTCTAAACGAAGCAGCCAATAAAATCAGAGAAAGGAGGATAAACACAACCATACTCTTTTTTTATTTTGAGAAAGCTTATGATCAAGTCAATTGGTCCTTTATGGACGCAAGTATGGAACTCATGGGGGTGGGACCAATCTTTAGGAAATGGGTCCAGGTCTTGTACAATGATGCCTCAGGCTATGTACAGATTAACGGGTTCCTGTCTGATAGCTACCCAATATCACGCTCAGTCAGGCAAGGGGACCCGCTCGCTTCCTCGATCTTCCTATTTGTGATGGAGGCCATTGCCTCTTTCCTACGGAAAGACCCCTCTGTACACAGATTCCTAGAGGTCAACATAGGGACGTCTCATCATCTCAAGTTTCTGACAGTAATCTTGTTCGCAGACGACATGACAGTGCTGATTAGAGCATCAGATTCGTCTTTTAAAGCACTGTCCAGGGCAATGGAAGCGTTCGGATTGGCATAAAAAATGAAGATTAATTGGAAGAAGACCATAGGTTGGTGGCTGTCCGACGAACAAATCCCGAACCTGCAAGGGTCTGAGGCTGCCATGTCCTGGGACACGCCTGGGAAGATGGGGGAATACATTCACCTCATTGATAGGTAGGGTCCTGGTACTCAACACTTCAGTCTTCTCCATGATGTGGTACATTGCGTCGGCATGGACAATTTTGGATGACTCATTAAAGGAACTAAATCGAGTGGCTAGAACATATCTATGGACGGGCAACCCCAACAAGGAAGGTTGTATTCCAGAGATATCATGGAAGTACATCTCAAGAAAACCAATACAGGAATCATTGACCCGAGGTGCGAGACGAGAGCCCTTCAAGTCAAATGGATAGTCCGTCTGTTGACGAAACCAGAAACGGCATGGAATAAGCTGGCCCTGGACAGCATAAGGGCCCTAGCCCTGGTGTCATCGCCAAGCAACATGACGGATCTATTATGGGTAATGAATAAGGAATGGTCTTTGAAAAAGGTGAGGAGAAGACCCAGGAGGGAAATAGAGCGGAACATAGACAACCGCCAAACGCCGTACTGGGCGGCTCTAATCCGGATTTGGAGGGAAATAATGCCAAAAAAGATYAATAGACCGAAATCTAAGGATGAGGTGCTGCAACAGCTTCTTTTTGGCAACGAGTGGTTGAAGGGAGAAAGCGATGAACCCTTGTTCTTAGACCACAAATGGCTGTCGTGGGTAAAGAATGGAGTTTGGACAATTAGCCACTTGTGGAACGAAGAGAAGAAGGAATGGGTGTCTGAGCAGGAGCTAAGTGCATGATTGAAGGGTTGTCATAGAAGAGGACCTAACCTGCAGTACATTACTAATCTTGTCCCTCAGGAGTGGAAAGGTATGATGAAACAAGGGGGCCCTTGGAAAAGCGAAGAATGGGGGGTCAAAGTACAGGAGAATCCTCCCTCTAGGGCCTTCCAATTCTCACACCTACAACAGGGATCAGCTACTCAAGCGGTGTTCACCTCCTTTCCGATTGCACATTGCACGAAGGGAATGCCGTCGATTATGAACACCAGCGTGGAAACGACAGTCATGGATTACTTCTTGCTCAGAAAAGTAAGGGTGTTAGGCACATGGCTGAAGTTTATCTTCAGATTCGATACGGCATTACACAACCTGGAGTTTGACCCGATGGAGTGGGCATGGAAACCAGAAAAGAGGACAAACATTAAGACGCTCACCGCCATACAGGATTACACGGTCAAATTTGGGTACAAGCTACTGCTAAAAACAAAAGACCCAGAACCGGCAATCAAGACCAGGTGGCAGAAGCTAATAGGTCAGGAAGCCGACAACATCACACAGATCCCATGGAAGATTTATAAAACAATCAGACCAATCAAAATCAGAAGCCTTCAATGGCTGATCATATACGCGGCACTACCAGTTAATCAGTGGTTACACGTTAGGCGGAAGAGTTCAGACCCCGACAGTTCTGATCAATGTAAGGTATGTACGGAGAGTGCAGTAGAGGACATAGTACACTGCTTAGTACACTGTAGGGAGGCGACAGATTACTGGGTGAGAGCCTCGACCCTCTGGGACTCCCTTTTCCTGAGCCCTTTCCCTGAACAACCCATCCAACTTCCCCTTCTGACTAACAACCCGCGCAGACCGGATCTGTGCGGAGATCCATACGGGGGGTGCTCGATCTCCGCACATTCCGCACCCGCACAGACCGGATCCGTGCGGAGATCCGTGCGGGGG